AAGAACAAAGGCGAGGATGCAAGGGTCTAATTATATAATTTGGATTAGCATATTTAACTAAATATAAAAAGTGTTTAGTTATAATTCAATGTCAGAAGGTGTATACAAAAGAACAAAAACCGAACTAAACTGATTATTAAGAGGAAGGAGGAACCTAGTGTGCGAGGAAGCAAAACTAGACTTGAGATAAAAGAGAATTTGTTTAATATACATTTCTTTTGTTAAAATTTGAAATCATATTCAAGTATTAAATTGGAGTTATATTAATTAATTTAAGGAGGTATGATAGAATTTTGAATAAGTTTTTGAAAGTTAAGGTGAGTGATTATATTTCTAAACTTCAGTAATTTTCAGTATTTCTAAATATATGTTTGATTTCATTTATACTTCATTTTCGTGAGATTTAGATTATAACACCTTGTACATATTGTTAGAAAGGAAAATATAGATGTTAAATAAATGTAGAACAAAATTAAATCACATGATTATTCATTTCATTAGTCATGAAGTGTGCATACTAAATATTTTTGTCTTAATAGTAATATCAAAGCTTAATATATGAACATATCAGATTATTATATGACCCTTATGTTCTAGTGGAGATGTATATGTTAGCTCATTGCATGACCGGACGTATATGACACGTGACTACTTGACCTTTAGTATTTTAGTAATTGTGCATATATCAATTTATTTCATGGCCTATAATTTTAGTACAAGTGCAATTATTTATTAGTAGATAAATCGAAAGTGTCTCATAAGAAAATAATGTATATCATGAACAATGAAATAGCTTATATATGGATACTTGTATGTGCATGTTAAGAGAAGAAGTTCACCCTCTTATGATATAGACAAGGGATGTCAGTATACTCACGCGCGTAGATGTTTTTCTACCACTCCAAATAATTTTGATATTTAAACCGCTAATCGTTGTGACGATGAAATAATAATGTTCAGGGAAGACTAGGCACCTTTCCACCTCAAAAAATCGTATAAAATATATCACAAACTGCTATATCGACAGGATAATATCGACCAGGGGTGAGTTGGGTTATGTTTTAACGGTACTCCTAAGACAGATGTGAATGTTAAGAGTATAAAGTAAAAGTAAAGTTAAAGTTAATGCACATCGAAGTTTAAATTATTCTCATTGAATAAATGTCAATAATACTTTGGATTATTATAGAATTTTCTATAATTAAATATGAAAGACAAACATGCATACTATTTTCTCTTCCATGTGTTATTGTAGTTTAAAAGTGTGATTGTTCCCGTGTTTTCTTTAGATAACTCATATTCTTTTAATATTTTTTCAGGTTTGAGCTTTTGATTAAAATGAACGTAGAAGAAGATAATGTTTACAAAAGGAGTGGGTAGCAACTTGAAAGATAGCTTTTTATTTGGTCAATTTAATTGCTTCTTTTAGATGCTTTTCCCATTACGTGAATAATAAATAGTTAGTGATAGAAATAGAATAACAGAAAATTTATTCTAGCGTTCGACCTTCTGTCCTTTCTTTGGTTAATTCCAATCCCGTCAGATCGTCTATCCCCGCAATGGTTAATTCTAATCCCCGAGCCAAGTTACGCGAGTTTTCTCTTCTTTATATTACTGTAATTTAGAAGTACGATTATTCTTAGGTTATCTTTAAATAACTTATTATATAATATTAATAATTTTTCAGGTTTAAGCTAACATTTAAGATAAATACAGAAGTAGATAGTGTTTGCAGAAGGCACAGGCAGCATCAATGTCTCGGGTGGGAAGCTGGGAGATCGGGTGAAGGAATGGTAAATGGACTCGAGAATCAGCAATTGGAAGGAATGACACAACATCTGGATCACTAAAACAAAAGACAACAGGCAGAATGGGATGGCAGGTGATTCGGGATACGAAAAGATCAATTTGAAGAATTTCAACTAGTAACAAAGAATTATGGTGGGTGGGACCCCGGCAAAGGACTGCATCCAACCGCACTAATGTCTTTTGTTGCAACACTCTTCTGATCAGAAATAATTCTGGAGCTTATGGGGATGGGCGAATTGCGTGCAAGACATATGAAAGAAGAGAAATCAATATGGGTCAAGGAAGGGAACCAAACCAAGACTTTATCGGTAGAATGAACTTCGGTCAAGAAAATTGGGGAGGAGACTCGTGCATAAGAAAGCTTAAGATGTTGATCTTTGAAAGAGAGGATGCTTATTGTTGGGTTTATTGTGTGGAGAGAAACTTTGTTGTTGATGGGCCGACGAAGGAAAAAAAAATTAATTATGACGGCTTGGTGTTTGGAAGGAAATGCTCTAGCATGGTATCAATAGAGAGAACAATGTCAGCCAATCCAAACATGGGAAGAATTCAGGGTTTGATTGTTGGAGTGCTTCAGAACCAAACGGGAAGGTGATTTACACGAGCCTTTTTTTTTGCATTGGTCTAGGAAGGATCTGTCGTGGAGTATAGTGAGAAATTTGAGATGTTGTCTAGTTGTTTGAGAGAGATATCAGAAAAAGTATTGAAAAGCGACTTCATGAAAAAGTTGAAGCCAAAAATTCAAGCATCACTTCACCTATTGAGACCACGAGGATCGGGAAAAAATTATATAATTAGAGCAATTGATTGAAGATAAAAAAATAATGAAACAGGCTATTATGAGCAGTACAGATGGAGCATCAAAACAAATTACTAAAGTCCCAACAATACCAAAATCTTAAACAAGGAAAAGTCCAGAAGAAGACTCTACATGACAGAAATAAAGGGCTACAACTCGGAGCGACGCTCAAATGCCTTACAAAGACAGAGGCTCAAGAGAAGCACGCCAAGAGGCTATGTTTTCGTTGTGATGAGTGTTCCCCAGGACACCGTTGCAAGAATAAAAAAATTACAAATTCTCACAGTGGTTGACGAGGAGGCAAGGGATGCAGAAATAGAGAAGGATGCAGTGGAGGGAGAGGAACACCCTTACTTAGATGTAGTGGAAATCTTGTTGAACTACGTGGTGGGATTTACATTGAACCACACTATGAAACTTCAAGGGCAAATCAGAGAGCAAGAAGTAGTTGTGCTGATAGATAATGGGGTCACCCACAACTTCATTTGTACTCAAATAATGAAGCAATTGGGACTTGAAATGATGGACACATAAAGTTTTAGAGTCATGATAGAGACGAGATGGGTGGAGAAGAGCATTGGAGTTTGTAAGGAGTGATTTCAACATTGCTAGACATTCAGATGATGAAAATTTTCTTCACTTAGACATAGGGAGCACTAACGTAATATTGGGTATTAAATGGTTGCAAACCATAGGAGAAACTAAAATGAATTAAAAACCTTTCCCCGTTGAGTTTCAAGAGGGATATAAGATGGTGGTGCTTCACAGTGACCCTAGTTTATTCAAGACGTTGGTGTCAGTGGATCCATCGAAGATGGCAAATAGGTTAGAGTGGCCACTACCTAAGACCTGGAAGACGCTGAGAAGGTTTATGGGACTTACATTGCGTGGTCGAGGACGAAGAAACTAAAGAAAGAAAACTTTCAGCATGGCAAAAGTCTTGACCCATACTTTTAAGAAGTTGAAAAAGGCCATGACGACTGTGACAGAACTGACGCTCTGAACTCAAGTCAGCTTATGAGCAGAAGCCAAGCAACTTTATCAAGCAGCAGTTTTTACATCTTGAGGGCAGGGTTATCCTTTTGGGAGAGGAGTCTTGTTATGTTAGTGCCTAGCCTAAGGGCAACTTAGTCATTTGTGTGCCTAAGGGCAATTTCATCCTATGCCATTTATCATTATTTAGTATAAATAGGAGTATACGTGTAGGGCTAGGACTATGCTTGAAATTGTTGTTGAGTCTTAATTAGGGTTTGGGAGAGCGTCTCTATCTCTTGAATTGTAATTATTATATGGTCGTATATAATAAATATATAGCACAAACAAAAATAACCACATAAATTGGTGATGACTTTGTTATGTTTTTAATAGGACCTCCTCTAATACTATTTTCAACTTAATTGAGTAGAGATTACATCAATTCTACATTGAAGCAATTAGACAATAGGTAGTGGAAGGTAGTGACCAACAATATCATAAACTAGTGGAGATGTTCAACTAATGGCATCAATGTTGAGCACCACTAATGTGCAAGTGATTCTCAACATGAATAGGTGTGATCGAAAGAGGGAATGTTAAGATCAGGCGGTATTGAGTGATTGTTAAGATCTTAAACAATATAATCGCTCATTGTTGGCCCTAACTGGTAGAATATGAGCCTGTACACATTAGGACTTCAAAGATTCAACAATTAAGTTAGAGTCACAATGGAGCATAATTTTGTAATGATGAAGAACTCAAAGACGACCATAATTTTGATGCTGAAGGGTCATCTACATCAATGAGTTAAGTCAGAGATTAACTTCTCGTTTGAACCTTGAGATTAATATAACTATGATGACAACAAAAATGGAGAGAATGAAAGATAAAGAAGTATCTCAATGGGCTTCTTAAACATGACATAACCACCACTTGATATAGATAATGAAATAATAGGCCTTCAAATGCACTTTTCCTTCTTCATCTAAAACAACATTTATGGATGAAGAAATGTTAACTGTGATGACTTATTGGCTTGGGGTTCACAACCCTTCCAATGGTGTCCTTTTTCATAACTAACAGAGTGATAATATCATCTTCTCTGACATGCTAAAGATATGGAATTCATAGGAACTAGTGAGTGTAGGAGACTAAAATTTCTGGTTCAAAAATGTTGCATCAGTCAAACGATTTCATGAGATCACTTGACACTTTCAGTTCAATTAAATCATATTGGATGACCATAGTTAATGACATAAAGCCTCTTATATCAAATGTTTGATGAATAAAATGGAAAATAATTATGATCGGGGTAAAAAATAAAAAACGTTCATAATCTCACAACTGGTTATATTAAAAAACAGCTAAAAGAAGAACAATAAAGCTATTATAAGAAAAGTGATTGATCCAAACTTACAGCATAAAGTAAAACCTGGCCATCATCCATTGTTTTGAAAGAAAGAGACTTCTCTCTATGCTACATGGGAAAACTCAGATTTAACTTAAGCATAGGAAATAAAATAATAACGTGTCAATTAAATGCATGAAATTTTGAGATTTTTCACCACAACAGAAGATATTCCAGGAAAGAGCCCGGAGCATATGATAGCACGGACAAGTGACTGGTTATGGCTCAAGCTGTTATACATGCTGGCATCTGCTTCTAGCAAGCCAGCATCTTTTAAAATAAAACTGAATTGCTTTCGTAATGAGTGAATAGCCTGCAAGGTTTGGGATGAAAGAAAGTTCCTCCAACAATATTCATAAGCAGAACCTTCTCTGTCAGCATCTTTCCATCCTTCATATGCACGAACAAGAGCCATATGATCACTGTAATCCTTTGCAGAAAATCTTGATTTTGCGGTCCCTGCCAACTGCGAGTTGGAAAATGAATTGTATGATGTCCAAAATTAGCCATTTAAAAATAGCCTTAAAAATGACTTTGAAAAGAGTAACGTGAAACTATGTTTCTCAAACAGCAAAAGCCAAATGCCCATACATCATACATGCAATCCATGACAACTTAGCTCAGTCGTCATCAAACAGAAATCTTCAAATAATTTAATACACTTACATCCTTCTTGTCTTGAGGTAGCAGAAAAGGGTCCCTAGCACTCAACCCAGACACCACCGTGAGAACAGGATCAAAGCAACGAAACAAAGCACCCATAATAAGCATCTTCCCTAGCTTTGGATCAACTGGAAGCATTGAGAGATATCTTCCTTGAAGGGAAAAGAAATAGAACCAATAAATTTTAGATCCATCAAAAAGTAAATAGGATGGCGAACTCAATAATAAAAAAGGTTGCCCAATTTAAAAAGACAGAGATATAAAGCGTACCAAGATTTGTAAGATTTTCCTTCTCATCTAACGCATTTATCATTTTTAAGAACTCAACAGCATTTTGCACCTGTATGCAATTAAGTAATCAGTCTGCTGAAAGAGCTCGCATGCAACCAGTGTAAAAGCAGAGAAGGGAAGAATAATGGTTCAAAAACTGAATAATGTCACCAACTCATTATTATCATCATTGATAGCCTTATCCCAATTGTTAAATAAATGAGTCTTTTCTCCATTCAATTCAATTTATAATGGAATGTCTAATCTAGTTCACGCAAATCATTTTTGTGTTCTTCTTCTGGTCATATTAAAACAGTTTACCCCACACGGTTAATATAAATATTTCACTCTCCGCTTCCTAGAAACGCCTGAGAATGGATGGTACTAAAGCACAGTTAGTGCTCAGCTGTTAATTGAATGCCTTGGGTTTTTGAATCAGAAAAACATATGTATGGTATGCTCCTATCTCTCTCATTTCTAGTCAACAAAACTCTGAAACCAGATCAAAACCGTTTCTGATACATAAGAGGAATAAAAATGTAAACTAAGTGCCCGTTTAGGGCGGATTATTTGGCGCTGCGCAGCTTCAGAACGATGGGTTTGTCGTTTGGAAAGTGCGGCGTGGCTGCTTCTCGGGATTAATCGGGAGGACACGCGGCCGCAGGTTCAACCCCGTGACCCGCATTCCTTCATTATGCTGTGACAGAGCTACCCTCGCATTACCCCGCTGCCTCTTTCTCTCTCGCGAGTCTTGCACTAACGTCCCTCTCTCTCGCGATCCTCACGGGGCTGCCTCTCTCACAATTCTTGCCCTAACTCACCTCTCCCTATCGTGATTCTTACGGAGACGGTGTTGCCTCTATCTCTCTCGCTTTTCTGGATTAACTGTTGCGGTGACTTCACCTCTCCCTCTCCTATCTCTGCTCTTCGACTTTATTTGGATTATTTTATTTGTCTTCTGTGCAGTGTTTCCTCTTCGTGCGGTGATTTTTGATCACTTGCTCCGCCTCTATTTCAGTATTCTCTATTTTAGCATAAATGTTATGGTTTTTTACTGTGTAAATGCTTAAGTGCCCGAGACTTTTGTGGGTTCCCAATGCTATTATCCTTTGATAGTTTTTGATTGATGTTGGATTTTTGGGATTTTAGCAATTTCACATGCAATGACTTGGAAATAGGTGATCACTTTCGGTTGATGTTGGATTTCGGTTTTATGTTTGCTCTTTTATGTTCTTGATGTTGGGCAAAGATATGTAGTGGTGTTTATTGCACGTGACTTGGAAACATGAAGTACTTTTCAGTTGATGTTGGATTATGATTTTTTGTTTTTCCTATTATGTTCTTGTTGTGGGTCGAATATATGTGGTAGTGTTGATTGCACCTACAATGACTTAGAAATATAAATGATTACTTGGAAAGTTTATGACTCATATGTTGGTGAGCGGAGGTGACTGCAGTGATGTTGTTGATGTGCTGGTGTGTTGCATTGTTTGTTTGTGGAGGTAGTGGTAGTGGTTTCGTGTGTAGAGGTGTTGGTGTGTAAATGTGTTTGTGTTGATGATGTGTAGGTGTTAGTGTGTGGAGGTGTTTGTGTTAGTTGATGTGTTTGTGTGGGATGCGTTTGTGTGTGGATGTGGAGGTGGTGATTAGTGTGTGGTTGTGGTTGTGTTTGTGTTTGTGTTGGTAGATGTGTTTGTGTGTGGAGGTGGTGGTGTGGAGGTGGTTGGTGTGTGGAGGTGGCGGTGTGTGGTGCATGGTGTGTGGATGTGGTGGTTGGTGTGTGGTTGTGTTTGTGTTGGTAGATGTGTTGGGAGTGTGGTGGTGGTGTGTGGAGGTGGTGTGTGGAGGTGGCGTGTGTGGAGGTGATGGTGTGTGGAGGTGGCTGTAAGGGTGTTGTGGATGTGTTTGAGTGTGGAGATGATGGTAGTGGTGTTGTGATGTGTTGGGGTATGGAGGTTATGGTAGTGGTGTTGTGGATGTGTTTGTGCGTGGAGGTGGTGGTAGTGGTGTTGTGAATGTGTTGATTGTGGAGGGGTTGGTGTGCGAGGTGTGGTAATGATGATTTGTAGATGGTGTAATGGTGTGATGTGGAGGGGCATTGGTAATGATATTGTGACATTCCTATTTTTCTTTGAGTTGTGGTAAATATTTTTTGGAGCAAAAATTTATGTTGATTAGTTTATTTCATGCTAGAAATACAATGATTAAAACAAAAGAAGTTGGTTCGTCTGCAACATGGGATAAAGATACAAAAAAAAAAATTTTGTTATCTTTCCCTCAATGAGCTCGACTTGGAAAATAGGCTGCCAAACTATCTCAACGAGGAGGGCTGACAATATATTATTAAAAAATTTAAGAAAAATATAGGAAAGGATTAAAATAGGATGCAATTAAAAAATAAATGTGATCAATTAAAAAATGAATGAAAATTTTGAAAAGTAATTGAAGGATCCACAGGAATCAGTTGAAATCTGATAAATCAAACAATTGATGCTTTGGAGGAGTGGTGAGCACAGAGGAGGTGTGCATTTTTGAAATGCCCACTGCATTTGTCAATTTTTCATTTTTTTTCTAAATGCATCAATATATCCTATGAATGTGTAGGTGGTGTCAGCTATGAAAAAATTTAAACACAAAAGCATCGATCATGAGTTAGAAGATAAGTTAGACCGTATGTTTAGTGTTGTCGTGATAAAGCACAATAATGTATGCGTCTCTAGTGAGACAGAGTTTGGTGGCATCACTGAAAACTTGGTTGCTAATCCAATAGGTGATTATAATGAAAGCGCCGATCCGAATCAATGAAGTATAATCCACCAGACAATCACAGCGTCTCAGGGTTGAGAAGAAGAAACATGAGGGAGTTGCTTTCATTAGAAGCCACATTTCACAGTTGGTGGCTTCATGCACTAATGACTTTGGCCCATCATAAACAACATCTATCCAGCAAGTTATGTGAATTCTGGAGGGAACTACATAAATTTATGAGGACACGTCGTTGTATTTATTCTCTATGAAGTTGTTTGAAGACTCGACCAGGAAGGAGTTTTTCATAACAATGGACCCTCACCGTAGAGTGCATTATTTATGTTATTTTTCATGCGAACAGTGACGCTTGAGGGACACTTGTGGGACATTGTATATTTGTTATTGGATGGGCCTCTGTCCATGCTGCTTTGGACATTTTATATTTGTTATTGATTTTTTGCTTTTTCATTGAGACTGTTAAAATTGATATGCATTTTTACTTTTATTTTCACGTGATTATATGATTGTAGCTAATATAATGATGCTTATGTGTTAGCTACATCGACAATGAATAACATGAATGCAAATAGAGAAAGGCACAGAAGGAGAGTTGTCGCTATAATGTATTTAATGTATGAGTATTATAACTCATACATATAACGCTCTCCTTGCATGGCATACTCGTAGATTGGTAACAAATAGGTTGAGGAGTTACTTGCGAGCCACCCAACGAGATTCGACAATATGTTCCGCATGACACATGCGGAATTCATGGATCTGCTGGAGAAACTACATAAAATTCATGAACTTCATGACTACATCAGAACAACTTTACGAGAGGTGTAAGCAATAATTATCTACATATTATCACATAATGAATCAATGCGAGAAGTCATAGAGTGATTCTGACACTCATCTGAAACAATCTACAAATATTTTTCAGTTGAGTTGAATGCACTAGTCTATTTTTCATCACAAGTCATCAAACCAAATTGATCAAACATTTGAAAACATTCCCACAGAGATTTCGCATGATGCACGGTATATGTCATATTTTCAGGTAATTTCACTCAATTATTATAGTCAAGTTTCAAATGAATGCATTAATATAGTTACTCTTGTCTACCTTTGTAGAATTGTATTGGAGCAATCGATGGAGCACACGTGAATGCATATATTTCAAAAAATAAAAGATCGCATTTATCGGTCCATGTGAGTTACCGACGCAGAAAGTCATGGATGTATGTAACTTCAATATGTGCTTCACTTTTTTCATGGCTAGTTGGAAGGGCAATGCACATGACAATCGAATTTCAAATTTGCAACACGGAATAAGAAATACAACTTCGTTCATCCACCCACAAGTTTGCTTGAGATTGAACTAGTAATTTTATTTTTAGTTCAACAATAATCATTATATTCAAATCAGATAAATATTATTTGGTCAATGTTTGATATTTGTTATGACGAGGGTATCTGAAGCTCTATCTTGATACGAGATATCATATATCTGACTTTGAGAGAACAAGCAATGCCACGCGGGGCAGAAGAAAAATGCTCAGCAAGAGACACTCCTTATGCGGTGTCATTGAGAGGGTGAGCATTTTGAGTTTAGAAAAAGAAACATGTCATACTTCGTGATATGTCAACATATTTATTTCCCAAACAAGTGTAGATTGTGATTGCCGCGATGACTTTCCAGAACTATATTCGACGACATCCTTCTCGCAACAACATTGATTTATGTATGGCGAATGGAGAACATTCGCATGTCCCTGCTGAGGCATATGAATATCGGCTTGGACAGCCTTTGTCACAGGCCGAAATTGATGTGTCTAAGACTTACACTCAATATGGGGAAGGTGCAAGCGAGATGACAGAGTTGAGGGAACTAATTATGGATATTATAATTCAAAGATGACTGGAAGGAACATTTAGTTTTTATTTTTGTTTATTGTAATGAGTTGAAAACATTTACTGTTTATTATATTAGTATTTTATATAATTCATGTATATTTTTGTCTCTTATGTATTTGATATTTATTATATCAGTTTTTTATGTAAGTAATTTATACTTCTTTTCTTTGTATATTTCTGTCTCTTATGTATTTTTCTCACATGGATGGTCGATGAGGCAACCGTGGGTAATATATGTTTCATAAATATTGCATATATTTTTTTTTTTGTTTTAGAGATATATGATGAGACGTTTGACCTTATTGGTTATTCTGGATGGTCTGTATGTCACTATTGATTAGTGTCGCATGTGAAATCTCAAGAAATGCAAACAAGTTCCTCTTTTTTCTGTGTTATGATTTTTTT